ATGAAGTCAGTCAAAGACCAACACCACTCGTCTCTGTCTCGTCAGCCGGCACCTACTTAACCTGCATCAATGAAGAGCAGGTGGGAGTGAGCACGATGAACTGTTGTGCTCACCACTATGCACATAAATAACAACATAATATATCAAGGGTATGGTCACAGCATGGTCATAAATTAATTCATCATGTCACATCTCCAATCAATACACCAATAACCTCACTCATGTGCATATCTATCATTAGCCACTAAAGGACATACAACTCTCAACAATGGGAGTGCATACCGAAGGACATACAGCTCTCAACGGTATGGCCTTTCATTAGGACTTAGAGAGACTGCCTCACAAGGCACCGTCGAAGGACATATAGCTCACATCGACGGGGACAACCGTTCGAAGGACATACAGCTCACATCGAAGGTTACACCAATTCACAAGCATGCATTGATCATACCAACAACAAATAAGTTATTTACAGCATAGCAATTTTTAGATTAAAACCCACGTGGATACCGAGATGTAGCTAAACACAGAGTTGAAGGAACAATGGCAAAAGTTCAGCTCGATGAACCTACAATAATTATAATAGCCTATCATCTGACTATCCAATCCAAGACAACACACAAAGCACATTAACTTAGCCGAAATCGTATCGACTAAGTGACTCGTGGATTCCTTGACTGAGTTAAGTACTTTGGAGCGACTACTAGACCTGAACACAACTCATATACCTCAGGTAAAACACATATATCATGCCAACATCAATAAAATCTAATCCGAACCTAAACAACNGATAATCGAGCATTAAGACTCTAAAATTAACAAAATTCAGAATCCAGAGTTAGACATAACCAATCAACCTGAAACTTTACCACATCACAAGGCATACAAAAACACATAATCCCACCAAGTTTGAGCCTTAAATTCATCCGAGATCATTTTTAAATGATTTAAGCAAAAACCGTGTCAAAACCTGACATTAACATTCCATATAGCTACACTTCGAATTTTAATCCAACCTTTTGACACAACATATAATACCACAAAATAACATACTCCTCAAAGTTTCAGCTCAAAAATTTAAGTGTACGATTTTTAATAAATTTTAAAAAATTCTGACCAGAAACCGATTTAATTAATTAAAATAGCTACAGATGGAGTTTCGACTTGAAAATTTTACACGACTTACAAAATCATCACAGGACATCACATATAAAATTTCGTGACAGTCGGTCAATCACACGATTTATCATGAATTAATTACGATTCAGCAGTATGCTCGGTTTAGAAAATTCATAATTCGGCATGTACACATCGAAACGACCTCAAACCAAAACCAATAACTCAAGGACAACTCCAAGTACCTATAACTTTAGGATTTCCACGAGAAACACCACGTATACCTCAGTTCGACAATTAGGCAAAGTGACGACAATCACTTTGACATCCAACTCATACATAAATACAGTGCAGGGCTCGATAATACATCCAAGGTACGTAAACAATCACTAACTCACACGTTCAGCATGTTAGCACATCATATAACAATAACACAAATCACGACATCAAACAAAGCGGAGTTCGAGCTTAGGTACCGTTCACGGGAAAACGTTCAAAAAAATGGGACGAAACGGGTTGAACGGATCGTACGTGCGCACCAGCGGGGCTCGACGGCAAAGCTTCGGCTCGCTCTAAAGCTGCACGGTTGATCAACGGAGGCCGGACAGCAACGAACGGGTCCCGACGGCTGAGAATGGACGTTGACGGAGGAGGGCTCGCCGGGGTAGCAGGGTGGCTGGAGTTACGTGTTTTAGCTTCAGTCGCGGGCCACATGATGATGCCTCACGTGAACAGGGACTCACCGGTCTGCACAACCGAGAAAAGCTTCTCACCGGAGATGGTGGTCTGATCGCTGGAGGACGCGATGGAGCAGCAGCAGTCGCCGGACTGGTTCAAGTGGACGATGACGATGGTGGATGATGGTGGCGGATGATCAGAACCGTGAACGTTGAAGATGGTGAGCAGCGGTTGATCGGATGATAAAGATGATGAAGGTGCGCTGATGGTTTCACGAGCAGGTTTTCTCCTTCTTTTTTTTTTACGATGGGAAAACAGGGTGCAAGAGAGAAATTGGAGGAGATATTGTTAATCGAACGAGAAGAGATTTCTTTGTTACACGATCGCGAGAGATTTAAAAGCGGAAGACGATGGCTTCGGGATAACGAGAAGGGAGCAGATTTCCTTCTCTTCCGTTGTGTCTGCAGGAACTGATCGAGAGAGAAGAGAGTTTGAGCGATTAAATGGACTAGGTTAGGGTTAAATAATCCTTTCTCACTTAGCAATCAAGTAATAAAAAGGAAAAGAGGGATCCAGGTCGGGCTCACGACGGGCGTCGCGTCGCTGGGTCTTTGGTTAAACTCTTACAATATTCGGGCCCGGTTCGATTGAACAGTTATTAAAATAAAACCAGAATATGTATAATATATATAAATATATATAATATACACAATAAAATTAACATATTAATAAGCAAATAATCAATTTAGACAATTAATAGCAATTAAACATTTAATAATAACATAACAAAAATAATAATATTAACGAAATAAATAAATAAACAAATAACCTCAAATATTTCACAAATTAACGGGGTATTACAGTCTACCCACCTTAAAAAGAATTCCGTCCTCGGAATTCGAAACTAAAAACATCCAAACTCTAACATACCACATCAAACATGAAGTTCAGATATCTCCTCCTAATTCG